CCCCCCCCCCCAACGCATCAAGGTAACGTGACACCAGTATTTCTCAAATAATAAAGCTGAATTGATACACAATGATTACAGATGTAGAATAAACATCTGATTCTAAACGGAGGGTCACATAAATATCTGGTATATGTAATTATGTAGTACCAATTATACTTTCCTGTTGAGATAGAGTTGACTGTATATCATTTAATGTCAAGGGGTATTTCTTTGGGTGTGGGGTAGATGTAGTAGAGGATTAATTATCTTCAGGATGGAGGAAGGATTTAAAGGTGGCCTCTTTTTTTCTAGATAAAGGTTACAATGTGAGGCAGAACACACTTGCCTTTTCTCTCCTTCTCTCTATATGGCCAGCCAGTGTAAACTCACTACTGATAATATATATTAATTAAACACAAGCTTATATTTATAAATTAAATGCAAATTTGTAATACAGTACAGTATAGTTCCAAGATTAACATGCTTGAAAATGTTACTGCTCTACAGGGGAGCCATTTTATCCTACTTTTGGAGTTTTGTGTAGTCCAGGTAAAGGGGGAAATACAAACCGGCGTCGTCGAGGATCATTCAGAGTCAGTGCAGCAGAGTTGCCACTGGCACAAGATGTCATCAACAGCTTGCCACCACTTTGTTTTCCTGGTGAGATGAAAATCTAATTGATGAGAAGAATCATTTTGCAAGTTAGAGATATTCCTGTCTATTTTTCAACAGAACTTGCAGCAACCCTGTCAAAGAAACTTGTAGAAGTGCTTAGGCATAACAACAGAAGTACTGTTAGTACTAGCAATAGAAAGTAAAAGCCAGAATTGACAGTAAAGACTGTTGAGGTATTTGGGCTTACAATAGTCTTAAGTGAACAACACCTGTTTACTTCAAGATGCCATCTTTAATAACCAACATGCATCTCACACGTAACTAACTTGAACNACATATTGCATGTTTATTCATTGCTTGTTTATGTCAGGTGTCTTCCATTCGACCAAAAAGTCCAGTTTGAACTTTCGACAATTTCAAGTAGTCAATAAGAATACTTTTTTCAATAACTTCTGTAAAAGAGGACAACATCGTGAGGTGTAACCAAATTTTTCGAAAATTTCTTATCGAGAATTCCGTTCCATTTACTTTTCTCCCGGAATGTCCTGAAATTTGCAGTTTGGAAATTCAAGAATTTTCAGACTGAATTGCTGGAAACTTTCCCAGGAAATTTCTGCACCATTAGGCTCCTAAGTTTTGTTGAAAGGAAAGCGCCCGTCTTGTTTTTTTATTAAGTATTAACTAAATGCGACCATTGTGAATTGTTCGTCATTGTTCACATCAATCACATGTGTATCTACATTGTACACCAAACATTGTTTCAATGTTTCTTCTTTGTAGCCTGTTGCCAGAAGTTATGACAAGTGACTCACACAAATTCAGAATGGCCTTGATGCAGTTTGTATCTCAACTGGCCATGGTACCAGTCCCTCCGCCCGGCTCTCTTGGAATTGTAAGATCTTGTTCTGGCAGGTCTTCAATCGTTTTTTTTTGTCAAATATTTCTTGTGGTACGATCATGATAGTAAGGTCCAGAGTGTATATCTAGTTTTGCTTTTTAACCTGTAGGAATTTGAGCTGTATGGCATAAAACATCTTGTACGTCCTGCCGGATGTCCAGGTAATTAGAGAGACATTATATCTTACAGTAATTTGCACTTCACTGTTGAAAAATCACCTCAGATTCATGGAAGAATACAAATTTTAATCGGCAACAAATTCATGGGATACTGAATAGTACATGGCTGAGGTGGCGTGGCCGAGTGGTTTAGGGTGCTGCCTCGACCCTGCCAGTATCTGGATTTATTCTTGCACTAGTCCTGAGTTCCTTGACCGTGTTATATAAACACTCAACTGGTCAGCCTCCCACCAGCTGAGATTCTTAATTATATGTCCCCACTGAGTTAGCACAACAGTACAATACAATACAAACTTTATTGACACTCACTAAAGAGGGCTTTTCAATTGATGCTATAAATTTTTAAAGTCAACTTAAGTTAAAATGATGGCTTTTCCAGATACATAGTTTATATTATTGTATTACATTTTTACATTTGACACTTAAATAAAGTTATTTTATTTTATACCCAACACTGGCAAATCCGTTAAAGCTGGGAAGTAATTCAATTTTCCACTAGTTTCTCTTTGACTTAATATTACTTTTCCTTCACAGAAACCAGAGTTATTAATATGGAGCTTCATTACCCATTTCTTTACTTCTCTTTGGATGATATTCTTCTTCTAATAAGCTGTATTCTGACTCAACAACGGATTGTCTTCCTCTCGTCATCATATTCCCTCCTCACTCCTATCATTGAGGTTTGTGTTATTTCTTAATTTTAACTCTGACTCCTTTAAACCTTGTAGCTGATTCTGCAGGGAACCTACCTACTTTACACTGATTGTACGGATGTATACATACCAAACAAAAAACACATGACTGAAGCCCCTACATGAACATTGAATTTGACAAGTGCTTGTATACACAAGTTTGGAGATTTGCCTGTGAGACATCATCACTAGTTAAGAAGTAGAATGATAAGAATTTTGTAGAATGTCGTATCTAAAATGCACGGTGAGTAATTATGAGCATGAGACAAGCTTTTCTCTTAAGAAGAACAGTCTCCGCGATTCAACAATTATTCCCATCTTACCTGTACAGAACTTTTTCTCTTCATTGGTAGAGTTTGTTCACCTTCATTCAACCATTTTCATGGAGTTGGACATATGTACCAATACTTCCAAGGTAAGACAAGTTGAGAAATGGTGAATTTTGTTCCTTTTGTGGTCCGTGACTTATTTACATGTATCTCCAAAGACGGAGATTACTTACAGAACACCAATATAAGATCATTTTATTTTAAGGTCTCTGTTGTTGTAAGTTATGGATCTTTTGATTTAGGACTTCTTAAGTTCTGGCTGCGATAGTGCTACTGATCTGTTTTACAACTTTATGCAAAAATCATCCTGAAATGCATTGAATTAACTTAAAAAAATATTTAAAAGACCATTAGGCATACGATTACACGATTAAAAGTATTGATCATTGTTAAGGGAGCTAATCAGTGAGAAGACAATCCCTGCCTCTGCAAGTTGAGTTTGCTGGAGAAACTCTGTATCTGAACTGCACACAAGTCTTCAGTACTCTTCCCAACAAGAGATCTGAATTAAAGAGAAATGCCAGCACAAAAAGAAGTGCTATGCGGTCAATCAGAAGTGGGATTCCTCCAACTTACCTAAAATTGTAATTCAAAATCTTGCATCCAACCTCGCACTGACATAGTCTGATGATCTTTCGTACGTGAAACTCAAGTAGCTTTCTTACAATTCTCATCTAAAATCTGCGTTTAGCACTGTATAACCTGCACGAGCAATGCTGAGACTAAGGGAAGCATTACCTGTAATATATGCATTGCTTCTTTGTTTATAGTTAAAAACTATTTACTCTATTCTACAGCTAAGACAACTAAGAGAATAAAAATATAGCCGAAAGTACTATTAAGTGGCCACTTATTAAACGGCCACCTCTACTAGGCAGCTAGTTATCAAAGTCCTGATGAGTGCTTTTCTATTGTTTTTACCTGATTAAGCGGCCAGCCCCCTTTAAGCGGCCACTATCCATTTCCCCGAGGGTAGCCGTTTGATAGGTTGAACTATACTGACAACCAGCTAATCAGAATTCCTGTAATCCATAGTTCTAAGTGCTGAAGCTGGTAAAACTTTGTGTGGCTCTATTTCAGTGATCAAATGTTATTTTTCACATTTTTTTGTCAATGAAAAGCTGCCAGTGGGTATTGTAATAGTTTAACAGGTTTTTGACCGTTGTTGTTTACCTTGCAGTGCACTTCTGGATCTGGTTGAAGCGCCTGGTGCATTTATCATGGGATGTCACTCAAGACACAAGAGTCAAATACAACGAGTTGTTATGGAAATGGACGAGGTAAGACATTGCTTTTTATCTCTTGGGTTTGTCACATTTCCATGTCCGGTGCGTCGATGCAATAAACAGTGTACAGTCAAACCTCCTGTACATAGACACCGCTGGGACCAAACACGTTTCGGCCGAGTACCAGTGTCCGTACATTTATCAGAGGTCTCAACTGTAGAGTTTGTATTTGGACCTTGACTAAGCGTCTTCTTATGGGTTATGTCGATGTGTATGTTAGCAGAGATCAAAGCATACAAAGGAATGTATTGTTGAACGTCAGGGCTTTGTGTGACTTTGACGCACCCTGATCTTAGCACAAAGCAGCTAGAAGTAAACTTAAAATTTTGATACAATAAAATTTAGTTCTACTGGGCATTCCTTTTTGGTCCTACTCTTAAATACAAAAATACACTGTACAAAGTTTAAGCTTTCTAGTTCTCTAATCTATTTGATTGCGGCTCTTTCTCTGGTGTTTTGTTCGTATTTGTTGGTGGTAATTTTCAGCTTCGCTGTTCCTCATCTTGATGGGCAGTTATCATTTTATGAACGGTGTTGTAGCAGTGCTTTACAGAAAGTTTATTTTGCTTCACACTCCAGTTGTCTAGCATAGTTATCGCAGATATTGACGATGGATCAGTTACTGCAAATTCAAGAATTCCACGACTGCCAACTTATGCTACAGACCTGTATAAGTTCAGGTAAGGGATTTCCGTGAACTCGGGTTTCATGTTATCATAACGCGATTATGCAAATTAGTTTATTTTGGTTTATAGCATGCCTTACTGTGGTAAATGGGACGTTCAGGAAACTGAGTCTGAGTTCGGTTTTAAAACTTCTGCGTGTTAGCTGCTTGAATAACTCGAACGTGTAGTCAGAATAACTCCTTTGAGCTGTTGACATCTTATGTTACAGAATTTGGGCATCAGTCATTGCGCTTGTACAAATGAGAGAAGTTTTCAATTGATTATGGAGTTTAAGAAAACCACGACGGCAACGGGAACTGGAACATCGCTAAACGAAAGATTTAATGAGCAGAACAATGGCTGTGCACGTGCGTTATAATTCTTGGTACATTTCTTAACTGTCCTCTGCAAAATGACAACGTGAAATAACCAAATTCTGCGTTGTCTGGAGAACGTGAACCAAGTATGATAGATAATTTCAATTTCTATTTCAAATTTATCGCTGTGTTCCAGATTTAGTTTTGTGACAGTTTTGAAAGTGAAAAATGAAGTAAATGCCTTTAGAGTATTGCGAGATTCATAGGTAAAATATAAAGTAATTTTTTTAAACGACGTTGTCTTTGGCATCACCGTTGTGGTTACGTTGTGATTGCTGAAATACTCGTGCTTGGTAAGAAAGTGAAATGGCACTCCATGGTTATGTAACAGCTTACGTATGCTCGGAACCATAAAATAGGGAATTGAAGAAACCAGGACTCGATGGCGAGGACAACATTGATTAAAAAATGATTTCATATTTTACCTACGAATCTTGTGATACCCTGAAGTCATTCTCCTTTGTTTCTTAGTGTCAAAACCATCACGAAATTGATTCTTACACAGGGTGAAACATTTGAAATAAAAATTAAAAAATTAGCCGTCGTGGTTCACATTCTCTGGACAGGCAGATTTGGTCATTTCACGTTGTTGTTTTGTAGAGAACGGCTAAGAAATGTACCAAGAATTATAACGCACCTGCACAGCCATTGTTCTGCTCATTAAACCTTTTGTTTAGCGACCTTCCCATTGCCGTTGCCATCATGGTTTTTCTAAACTCTCTAATATTCCTTTAACAACGGCAGGGCTCAAAATAATTTTCGGACCGTGGCCGGTCATGTTTACCGGCCAAAGTAATTTTAGCTCGGTCACATCTCGTTTCTGACCGGTCAAGATATTTTTTTAGAAAAAATTAAGTAATGTTGGCCTAATTAAACCCACAGATATAATTTGTTTGTTTCAGTCGTTGCTAGAGCGTTTAAAAATTGGCCTACTACAAAGAAAAGCTTAAAACTTAACCAAAGATGGCCTTGGCAGGGCTTAGCAGCTCAATGAAGTGGCACGCTGTCAGCGGAATTCTTGCCACCTGCCAAAGAAAAAGTATTGAACGGGATGCATATTTGATGAAACTTCGAATTTTTGATCGGTATGTTGAATTCCATGAGCTGTTGTTTTGATGCTCTGCAAAGTTTTTATGTCCGTGAAAACGTATATGAAATAAATAACAATGACAAATAGAGCCGAAGAAGAAGTTTCTGTTTCCTCGATTCTCTTCCCTGCAAACGCTCAACAAATCATCGCGTTACTACGAATACGGCTACAGTTACACAACAAGTGTTGGGAAGTTTCTTAACGATGTGACTAAAATTAATAAGTTCTAAAGTGTAAGCTATAAAAAATCTAAACCTTGTTGTAGTCATATTAGAGAGAGTTTTTGTTCAGGAAAAACTAATAACCATCATTCGGTAGATTTTACCAAGCAACGAGTTGAGAGTGTCTCAAATTTCATTCGCGAACAAAATAACTTTACAGATACAGATACTGATATAAAGGCCTTCGGCTTTTTTGTTGGTACATAATTTTATCCGTTTCGTAACAGTAACTTATCGGTTGGTTCTAAATTAGATACTGGATTCGTGCTCAATGTTACATTTACAGCTTGATGGAAACGAAGCAGACTGCAAAATGCGTGTTTTGAAGTCCCGGAGTCCCATGGTGTCTAAGCTGGAAACAACTTGACAATTGAGCGAAAAGTTTTGTTTTGGCGTCTTGTTCGTCGATTTTTGTGCAGTGAAAGTGAAAGAAATGACAAATATCTTAACATCTGTAGAGCAATACCTTTGAAATATACGCCAACAAAGAGAGGTGCCCTGTGACAAAAGTGTGACACTTGGGCAAATCTAAAGCGTCAGGAAAAGCTGAATCTGATCGGATTTTTTGCCGTACGGAAAACCTCTGCTGTTCGAAAGGCTGAATAGTTTTGAATGCTGAATTAAAAAGTTCTGCCGTCCTAAAAGATGAAATTTTTTTTGAACGGATAGCAGCAGTTGTTTGAACGACTGAATATTTTTCTGATCGGATAACTCCAGCCGTTCGAATGGCATTCCTATCGATCTTGAGCGCATGACAAACAGCAAGCGATCGATTTTTAACCGTTCGAACAGATACCAGTTGGTGTATGTTTTCGTGTGAGAGGCCAAAATGAAAGAGATAAAAAATCTAAGATTTACAATTGAGGATTTGATTGTTTATTCAAGAATGAACAACGTGACCGTCTCAACATGATGTGACTGGTCAACATGACCGGCGAGTGAAGTTCTTGGCTGGTCAAGTCACCATTCTGGCCGGACATTGTTCATTGACCGGCCGTTATTTTGAGCCCTGAACAGTAAGTGGCGCATAAGACGTCGACAAGGTCACTTCATCCATGACGTTCCTTTGTAAAGATTGTAGTTGTTTTTGTTGTCCGAGTGGTCTTAATCGTTCACTTAGCCTCTTAGCCTCTTAGAAATAGCCTCCTCGAGGCGTTCAGTTAGTTGTGGCACAGCGCAAAAAACTTCATACTAAAAAATAGGGCGCCTCTCCTCTATTTTTCGTTCGCTGTTTTTTTGCACTGCGCCCCAACTAACTGAACGCCTGGAAGACTGCTACTACAGAAAGTGCTCTTATTACATATACGGTGGTATAAACAGGGCTGTCTTAATGGAGGGTTTACAATGCAGTTTATCTTATATAAAACTTGTTTCTTGTTCAGAATGAAAAACGCAACAATCCACTTCGACCGGTCCCTCCTCCAAAGGTATAGTTTACTTTCAAATTTCATAATTTGACACTTGCTTCCGTGTAGCTTTGTGATCACTAAGGATCATTTTCATTTACAGACAAACATTCTACACCTTACAAGAATGGCAAGAGGAAAGAGAACAGTTTGTTAGAGATTTTCAACAGCTTGTTTTGGCATGTAAGTTAAGTTTTGTGACTAGTATTTGAAACTTGTTTTTACTTCATTCCTCAATCCTTACTCTTCAAGTACGCTTAGGCTTACAATTTTATTTATGACAATAAAAAAGTTATGAAAGGGTTCTTATTTGCGCATTTACAATTCACAACGCGCTTACAATAACTTAGAACAAAAAGGTAAGAATAAACTTGATGGTAAAAAATAGTTCTATCTATAAACGTAAGTATGTAGCCAACTGGGCGGGTTTTTTTCCGAAAGCTGGTTAACGTTAATCCAAGATTAAAACTTAATGGAAGTGTTCATTTGTATTGTTGGTATAAAAATGTTTTTCACTGCGCATGCTCATGTCTTGTGTATTTTGAGAGTGTGCAAACTCAAAACTGAAGGACCATGACTATAAACAGAAAACCTCAGGGGAAAGTCACAAAACTGAAATCAAAATTCTTCCTAATGCTGGGTTTTAACAACCCGGCCCTGAAATATAATACTAGGATTAAGAATGATTACAGAAAAAAGAAATGTGTTAACTTTTTTTTTGTGAATTGGCTCTTTTTAAATAGGTAGGGTAGGTTAAGTACAGATCTGCATACTTGCCTAGTGGCCCATCAGACCGGCGCTTATCTCCGGTGTCTGTAGCATGAAGTGACTAGGAATATTTCTACTACCCCCTGGATGGGATGCTAGTCCATCGCAGGGTTACCCCCAGCATTAAATTCGCCGGTACCCATTTATACACCTGGGTGGAGAGAGGTACTGTGAGAGTAAGGTGTCTTGCCCAAGAACACGACACAATGTTCCCGGCCAGAGCTTGAACCCAGACCGCTCGATCCGGACACGAGCCCAGTAACCATGAGACCACTGCACCTCCACATAAACAGAAACTGTACTAGAAAGTGTACTATTTGATGAGGAGAGTTTTATTAATTTTTGACATGAACGGAACTGTGTGCTTGTTTTGGCTGTGTAATACTGTACAATTACATATAATTAACTAATATGCATGTAATTGCCTTACAAACTCATTAAAGAAACTGGTCAGTTTAGAGAATCATACGTGACACAAAACATGTACATTAACTTAAGTATTCAAAAAATATTGGAGAAAAAAAAAGAAGAAGAATTTTTCTCTCCGAGATGGCCTCATTGGTTATGATTTTGTGGTGGGGACATACGAGGCATGAACGGAATATCAGCGACTTCTGGTCGCTCAAAGTTATCAAGTGATATAGAAGGTCTTGCCTGACTACAGTTGTCATGAATATAAATCGTCACAAACTCTTACAAAGCATGCCATGTCTTAATTTGTATTATCTCTATTTTTGTTTTTGCCTTTTACCTTCACAATAGCCACGTTAGAGATGATGTTACGAATGTTCAGGTAGGTACATGTAACTTCACTGTTTTTTTTTTTTTTTTTCATACTTACCATTATGCTAAAAGAATATTGTTAAAAATGGTGTATTCTATATCGTGCATGCAATCATTAAAATACACTCAGTTATTATACAAATATGCAATGAAAATCGCTATGTTTTGATTTTATGTTGAAATGAAGCGGCAATAGTAGTTTATTTTCTTCAAATGTCTCTGCCTCATGCATTTAAAATCATTAGATTATTGACTGCATTGCTGATTGAGGCACCTACATTGACAAATAGCATACTATGACTAAAATTAACTACACTTCCATGGTTCGTTTCAATTTCTCCTAGATGTAACTGTCGTCTTTTAGTTTCTCTTAGTTCTTCTCAACATTTGACAGAATTGTAACATTATATTGACTCATCTTTTTTACCGTTCTCTCTACTTTTAGTGACATGAAAAATTTCATTGTCCAGCAAGAAGATGTAAGATGTACTTTTTGTTGGTGTTGTTGTTATACACTGGAATCCCGATTTTTGAACTTACCTTTATATTTGAAGTAACGTTTGCTTTCGTGGTAAGAAAAGTTAGGAGAAATTGACCCTCGATTTTCTGAACCTCTTGATTTTCAAACCAGATTTTGCTCTCCTATTGCAAGGTGTTTCAGCAATTCGAGATTCACTGCACTTCCTGAGAAGTTTTCTTAATGTTTTGTACACGCTTGTTATGCACAAACTGTCGTTCATTTGCATATTGGCGTACAATATCATACAAAAAACCGTTTTCATGGTTAACATTTCTCATTTGCATTACATCATAATGAAGCACGTGCATGTATGTGAGGCAATTTTGGGCTCTTTTGTATTTTCGGCCCGAAATTGCCTGGCATACATGTTCGATTACAATGTAATGCAAATGAGTTCTAAAAACTAACCATGAAAAGGGCTATTGTAAAGGTGTGGATGTTTCTCTACTTATAGGATATTTCTTTGTTCTTTCCATGACAGCTTTTCTTTGACATGGATACATACGTCGGGTCAAAGCCTTCAGATGACCAAGAGTTTTATCGTGAGGTAAGCGAGCTCTCATAGCTTGACCATGTCTGCTGCAGTTGTATTAAAGGATGCAAACTGTCAACTTCTGAGAGGTCTGTACCTGAAGCATGGTGGGCATCTTAAGCTGTTGTCATTTATTGACAGGACGATAGTCAATGCAAAACTTACAAGAAACAAATTTCTACCTGTGACAAGCACCTAAGAATGTTTCCTTGGTAACTTCTACTGACAGCAATTGAATTTAATGTAATTCACGGAGGTCTTTGGTGCGAAATTTGAAGCAACAAATGCTGCCTAGCCTCCTTAAGCTTCTTTCGCATGTAAGTTCCATAATAGGCACTGTAGCCATGACTTCAATTACGATTGTCATTCATCCAACAAGGGGACATTTTTTTACAATTGTGCTTGAGTCTTTTGAAGTTGCGCTCTCGTACAATCAGATTTCGAAGAGAGTAAAAAAATTAGAAGTCGAGACAAACGTTTACATTCAGAATGTGATTCTGTGATTCAGTTTCCGTGTACAGTCCACAGGCTACATGTAGATCGATTGTCTGGAATGACACACTTTTCTTTGAACTTGATACTCATTATTTAATTCTTCAATGTTTTAAGGTATGCAAGAGTCACGCATTTAGCATGTTTCTCTACGACCTTATGCACGATCCAGAAAAGACCGACTACTTTACTCTCATGGCCCAGAAAACAAGAGTAGCTCCCAAGTAAGTCACGGTGCTTCCTTTGTTGAGGGACATTAAGAGCCACTCCAAGTTGCATCCTTTTGCTTTTCAAGGGGCTAGGCCACTCTATCTGATTAGTGGGTGACAACAACAACAACAACAACAAATTCTTATTTCTTTCCAGGGAAAGTCAGGGAATTATATTTTAAGTCAGGAAAAAATGAAATTTTGAAGAAAAGTCAGGGAAATTGAAATTATAACAGTGCTGATTTAAAACCACTGAAGGCTGGAACAATCATTTCAAGTCTCTTGTGATCTCAGCAATGTTTTTCCAGAAGGCGAGAACTGTTGAAAACTGATTGGTCCAAAATTAATGGGTGGAAATTAAAAGGACGGCTGTAAGTGGAGGCTGGAGGCCGCTACTTTATCCGACATTTCGTATTTATTTGATCAGGCAAATTTTATTTTTATCAGGGAAAGTCATGAAATTTTGCAAAGTGATTTTGCTCGACTAATTTATTATGTTGTCATCTTGTGCAATCTCACAGGGCTGGACCTCTGAGAAAAAGAAGTTCCTCCACAGTTCCTGTCCCCGTTATATCCGAAGAATATTTTGACAACCCAGAGGAAAATCTAAGCACCTTTGTGTTGCCGCCATTTACCCTTGAAGGAATTTACACAAGTAAGGAATGGTCACACGAGATTACATACATGTAGAGGGAGGTAAATGCTATGCGAGGGTAACACCCCTTTAACAAATCACTTTTTTTGGAACTAACAATGGTTGCCAAAATGGACTGTCATGCCGGAAGAAAGTTGTGTTTTCTGATCAAGATCTGTGTACATGAGGGGACAAGTCAGGGGCAATAGATGAGGCACCTAGAAAACAGCAATTTCTCAACAATTCATTTGGTTCAAGAAAGGTAGGCTTACAATAATTAAAGGGCCCTTGTCAGCCACGGCTTTGCTTATGTTTACATGTGAGGGTTTGGCTAGTTTATTTTATTTGGAGCGTGGCGAAACGAAGGAAATCACTGTGAAACTACTAATAAAAGATATTCACGTGCAATTTGCGGTACCTTGCCTTCTGACCCAACCATTTTCTTCTCTTATAGGAAGTTTCTACGACGAGTACTTGAAGTCACTCACTGCCAAAATATTGGTAAGTAAGTAATATATAAAACACAACAGACCATGTTTTATCACAATTTCAAACATTAAGAAGAGAGTTGAAAATATGACACTCTATTGTTTACGAAGTCCAAGGTGTTTCGGGAAATGTGGCAAGTCACTGTCTCGAGTGTTTGAGATACCTATGGAGAAAACAGAGAAATAAAACCGTAAAAATGTATAGTAATTATGATCAATTATAATCCATCAAGTATTTTCACTCTCGCGCGATTGGTCTAAATGCGTCACGTGACTGAATATGCCCCAGCTAACACTGGGGACTATCTGAGTGATGTTCCCGAATTTTCAAAACTGCGCGTGTTGCAAAAAATATTTGAAGGATAATAAATACAATAGTGTCCATTTAGTGCGAAAATATGCTCAGATATTTCAGTCCTTGGACATTATCTGTTCCTCAAAGCTCACAGTTTTCCGAGAGCGTATTGAAAACTGTTTGCTTCGAATTCTCGGTACATGTACTTGTAATGTCAGCGGACAAATATCTGAGAATATTTTCGCGCCAAATTGAGGCTATTGTTTATATATCCAGACACCTTTTCTTTGATCAAAATAATTATTGATATTAATGAGTTTGATAAGGTTCTTTCAAAACTGGCTTTACTCAACTTAAGCACATCTCTGTGTGGCACATATTTCGTGCAGCTGTACATGTGGAGATCCATTTTCATGACAAATCATTGAATACATGTAATACTAACAGTTATGCTGCACAGTCTTGTGGAATATTGTCTGATTTTAGCCAATTGAGCATAAGCCAGGCAATATTCTGCAGGTTTTACAGTGGTTGCTCGTACAATGAGCTTATAATTTGTGAGAACGCCAAATAATTGCGTCTCAGGAATGTGCCCCAAACAAAGTTTTGGACTAATGGTTTTGCATATAGCCTCCTACGCAAATGTTCTTATGGCTGGTCATGCAGTCCTACCCTGAACGTCGTTGGTTTTGCGAGGATTGCTTGACTAGTTACGTAGGAGGCTTTGTTGTGTGAAGTTCACGCGCGTTTTCTTTTTTGCTATAGGATCGTATGAACCAGTCTTCAAGTCTTCTTGCCAACTACTTATATCTGCGTGGGATGTTAAGAATTGCGCGGGGACAGAACATCGAGGTATGTGTTATAAGGGTGTAAGGGAAAGCTTTTTTGAATATTACTATCCTCTAATGCGTGGTAACATAGGCAAGGGGCAGGGCTCATTATCTAGATTGGATTTAAGTAGAAACAGTAGCACAGGAAATATTTTATAATATTATTAAGGGATCCAGCTTGCAAGAAAGCTCTTCTTGGAAGCTCTTATTGTACCCCTACCCTAGGAACTCCTTAGAGCTTGTTTGAAGACTATATGGATACACGTACCAGGTGCACAGTGTCACATATTTATTATTTCGAAGTCTGGTTTGTCCAGGAAATGTAAGTTGAAAAGCATGCTGATGAAGGTTGACGTTGTTAGCAGAATGAAATGACCTTTGAAGCAAAGAAAACTGCCAAGTTATCGGGGTAAAAATTATGGTAGTACCCTGGCGGATATTTTATTGTTATAGCCCTCTAATAAACTAAATCCAAAACTGAGTATCAAAGGCTTAACTTATTTTAAACGGCTGGATTTTGGTCGCTGGTTGTTGACAGGATTAACAAGGGTTGCAGGAAGGCTTTTTCGAGAATTGTTACATGGCTAGTGTTTGTAGCGGATATAATGCGTGCTCTGATTGGCTAATTCTAGGGCATTATTAACTACTTAATAACCGAGAGTGAGGTCGTTACGGGAAAATCTCAAACTGAGGTCTTGCCGTATTGACCGAGCGATAGCGAGGTCAATACGGT